CCATCGTGGAAGAAGTATTTTGAGATGGGTCCTTTATCAAGAAATTCTGTATTTCTCCACTCAATTGTTCCTATAGCAAAATTTCACATGCTAAAATTCTGGCAATTCTTTACGCACTAGGAAAAAACCAGGGGAGAAAGGGGAAAACAGCCTGGTTTATTTTCGCCATTTTCCTATTATATACTTAATTTTTTGTTTTTTAATTCTTTTCCATTTATTTATTTTTTACTTATTTTATTATACATTCATTTCATAAAATTGTCCCTTTAAATAAAAAAATAAATAAAGATAATTGTATATCACGCAAGAAATTAACTGTCTTTTTGGACAGAATCTACACAAAAGGACCATTTGCCCAAAAATGCAAAAGTTTGAGTCCATTTGCACTACATTTGAAAAGATTGAATCAAAAGCGCAATAAAAGACAAATGTTTGTGTCCATTTGCGCCATTCTCTGTAATGTTAAATGTTCAATTGTTCACTTGTTTGAATAATTAAGCCCTTGATTAGCCCCCATGAGATTTTTGAAATAATGATTTACGTGTAATATTGATGTGTGATTGAAAAGAAGAGAAAAAAATGTATTAAAATTTTAACAGGAGTCAAACAGTGATTAAATATATAAAACGAATGAGCATCCCCAATTCAAATGGGAGATTTCAAGGAAGTGCTCGATGTACGTAATTCATATTATTACAATTTGTAAATAATTTTACACATAACATTTTTGGTTAATTGATCACTCGAGGCACTAAATATCTTACATTTGTCATTAGAGAGGGATACAATCTCGCACAATGACTTAATAAAAAAATAACTCGATTTTGTGATTAACATTGATAAAAAAAAAATTGTTTTACAGCTTTTATACCCACTTATAAGCTTGCTTGTAAATAAGTTATTTTGAGCTAAATCAATTTTATCTATTATTTAATGTAACATTAACGCGAGTTTGTCCAGGTTAAATAGCATTACTCATTTGTAAATTTGCCCAATTTTGAGCTTAGTGGAAATGAGCCAAATAGGCTGCTCGTGTGAACCATGGAAGCAACCTCTCAGCTACCGCTACCATGTCTGCTAAACCTCCCAGAATTCCACTCCCAAAACTGAGCGCCTTCTTTCCCATCAAAACAACACCAGACAACTCCTTTCCCATTCTCAGCTTTTCTATCCCTGCGAAAGCAACACCCTCTTTATCTCCTACATCTTCGGCTGGAACCTTCACGAACTATTAAACTAATAATCATAATGACCAGCGACATTGGATGGTGCCCATGGATACCCCTCCACTAGAGCTTACTACTAAACTGCAAATCATTGATTACTATGTCGACACTGGAAAGAGTTTTTGGCAGGTGGGTATGTTTCTGAATCCCCAAAAGTTTGATATTTGTTCTATTGAATCTTCAAACTCGCCTTAAAGAGCGGAACCTTGGTAACATGAGTAGCTCAATTGTTGTTTTCGTGTTTAAATTGGATTTTATGTGCTGGTAGGATAGTGGTCGTTTCATAATACTGGAACCCAGTTATACGGGCTGAATTGCTTGTTTGAGTATTGTGAGCTCACGGAAACTTTCTCGTAATAGCTCAAGCCTCAAGCTTTCATTGTTTTCATATTTAAGCAACATGAATTTAATTTTTACCCTACAGTTTTCCATTTTCTTGAATAAATGTGTGTGATATATGCTTATTGATATAGTTCTTGGTTTGATTAGGAATCTTTATATTAGGTCATGCAACTGAATAGAATTCTTGGGTTTTTAATTTTATCTTCATTGTCGTTGAATAGTGAAAAGGAGGCTCGAATGTGTATATTTGATGCTACCTGTGACACTCATTTTGGTTTCTGCCGTGACATTGACGAAGAAAAAGCTCACGAGCTAGCAGGTAAACTTTAAATTTATTTACTGTTCTCATTTTTGTTTTTCTGAATCTTTGGAATTGGAACCCATTAGGGTGCCAAGAGGATTTTTGGTAATTGGCGGTTATTTAAATTTCTAAGTATAGGTATACTTGGAGTACTGTCGGTTAAGCAAGATCCTGATTTCGAATCCGTGGAGAAAGACTACAGCTATTCGAAAATTGAGTTAAACTCTCAATCGAGCTCATCATCCAGTCTTGTTTGCTAAGTTTTTTCTGAGAGTAAAAGCTGTTGTCTTACAGTGAAAAAGATGCTCAGATGTGCATATACCACATTTCGTGGCAATCAAATTATGGCTTCTGTTGCGAACTAGATGAAGGGTCTGCTAATTAGGTGGTCTGTATTCTGCACTACTTCATCCATATGCATGTTTATGTGTTGCTAGTATGTCAATAATGTCTTTGTGTGTAGGTGTGCCCTGTGTTCTATCCATCCAGCCAGATAAGAATTTTGGGTCAGATATTAAAGATTATGGAGGTTGGTCATTATAAAATGTAAACTGCTAGTTCTGTGACTTCCATGCAAGTTTTTTGGAATATTTTGTTCTTGATGATCATGAGGTCATGTAGTTAGGATCACTGTTGATTTTAGGGTTTTGTATTCACGTCAAACATACTCATTCTTAATACATTTCAACCAGGTTTGTTTTTCAAATAATGTTCATTGCTTCTTGTCCCGAAACACAGGAAATTCTTGCCTACAAAGATAATTGAGTAACTAACCTTGTTAAAGAAAACTAGATGTCTAAGAAAGTTGTGTGAAGTAAGTTCTTAAATTAGGCAATATAAAATTCGATCCTTAATTGTTGCATGAATGAGGCAAGGTATAGTTAATTGTTTGCAGTACAGCTGTTTTATTTTAACATACTTGGGCAATTTCCTCTTTAGGAGATTTGAGAGCTATTTCATAATATGCTGCAAAAACTACAGTCAAGAAAAGAATAATCCTACTACTGGAAAAACATTATCATAATTAGAGCTATACATCCAATTATGCTATTACTTTTGTGGGTCGATGTAAGGACTAGTCAACATATTCCTGTTTCATTGTGGTGCAATTGCTTTACTATTACTTTGTCGTGGGCTTTCTTTGTTGGAACATTATATGAACAGTTTCATAACACGATCCAAAGAATAACCTGGAGAAGATTAGCCTTCTACTGGAAATATATTATCATAAATAGAGTCGAAAATCCTGTCACTAATATTCTTGCTCAAATGCTATTGTTGTCATCCATATACTGAGTCGATTAATCTAGCATTAAATCCAAGAAGCCTGTCTGGATTCCACAGGAGAGAATATAAAGCTGCCAAATCATTCTGATAATTCTTCAGCATCAAACCTACCATCCAATACTAGCACAAAGAAGCTGTTTGTAACTGTTAAGTATAATTTATACTTGTGTTGAAGATATTCTCCTTACGACTTCTGATACCATGATTATATTGTTTAAAATACATGACCATGTTCTGCATGTTAATTATTATTTGTGAATGTTCTGCCATTGGGAGCCTGCATTTGATCCTGATGCATTTTGGTTTAATGATGACATTTTTAATACATTTTGATGTTTGAATAAACACTTCCATAAAATTTATATCTCGGAGTTCCATTATTTGTTTTGGATCTCAAGGATGGGTCTTTTTCGTCAATTCAATTGGAACGAATTGATATATGAGGAACGAATTGATGTACGAGGAGTCAGGATTTACATTAGAAGAAGAAGAAGAAGAAGAAGAAAAGGCTATTGGAAGATGTAAAACCATTTTTAATCGAGTGACGTTGCATATGAACAGTAAAAGGAAAGGTATTGATATTTCATATGAAGCTGTACCGTATAATTTTTACACAAATGTGTTTGGATCAATAGAGTTTCATCCATTTGGAAAATATTTTATCAAATTCATCTCGACACCCACTTTTGGAAAATGTTTTATCAACTTCATCTCATCACCCACTTTTTCCTCATATCATCAACCTTGTTATTTGCTATGCTTTTAACTTTTAATAACTACCATAGTTCGGGGTGTAGAACTTTTCCTGCCTGCATTTCCATGATACCATTAATCCCATTGAACTGAAAACACTTGCTTGATGTTCTTTCTGTTCAGGTCTATCCTTTTATACGTCTGAGAAGACTTTACGTGCAGCCCTTGAATGTTTTGGCGAACTGGTTGAAGGTAAATACTCATATTGCACGAGACACTATTATCTCCTTTGACTTTACAGATCGAATGACTTTGTTTGGGACATATTCTTCCCTGCTGACAGTTAAAAAATCATAATGGACAAGATCTCGAAGAGGTCCAAAGGTTACGCATTTGTGGAGTTCACCAGTGAAGAAGCTGGTAGTGCTGCTCTCAGAGAGATGAATGGCAAGGTAGCCGCAGATGTTTACTACCTTTAAGCAAAATTTAAACCTGCAACTGATCAAGCATAAAAAAAGGGTTGACTTGGTTCCATTTGATGCTTTCAGATCAT